CATACAGTAGTTACTCAATGAAAGTCTGTTTAATTAAGGTTAGAATATCTTGATCCACAAGCATTTATTAAGCACTTACTATGTGCCAAGCATTGTGCTAAGCATTGGGGACACAATAGAATAAATGGATACTATGGAAATGTCTACAAGACGTATCAACTTTCAGATTAAATCTCCATTGCAACATTGTACATTTTGAATATCCTACTCAATTTAAGCACAAGCATTTATTGAGAGCCTTCTATTTGTAATGCACTAAGCTAACTGCAGGAGGGATTGCATCAAGATGGGAAAATCTATGAATCTAGTGCTCAAGGAGATATCCGAAAAGAAATAAGCTATGTCTACAAATAATTGAGACCATAATGACATAATGGAGAAAGATATCATAGTCATAAGAAATACAAATGAAAGTATATGAGAGGAATGAAAAGGGGGATATCTCTTCTAGTTGAAGGTTATTAAAACAGGTTATTAAGGTAGAGGAAGTGTATGTGTCCTCTACCACAACATAGAAACTAGGTGGCCCAGTGGATAAGAATGCTGGACCTGGAGTCAGGAAAACCTGAGTTCAACTCTAGCACTGTGTGACCCTGAGCAAATCATTTAACCTCTGTCTGCCTCAGTTTTCTCATCTGTGGGTGAGGAAACTCATCCCAGGGTTGTTTTAAAGATAAAATGGGGTTTTATAAACCTTTAAGCACTACATAAACTGCTGGCCACTGAAAACTGCTAGAAGGTACACCACCTTAATGTAGTCTATGAGGTAAATTGTCAAGAAGTTGAGGGGGAAAGAAGAATAATAGTTCTCCAACTCCTAATCCTTTGAGTTTATAGCATAGTAACTTTTCCTTGATCCATCTGCATCCCTTTCTAGCCTATACCATGTATACGAAGAGTGATTCCATCTCTTCTCCCTCAGAATGACATTTTCCTAGCTTTGAAAGATCCCAAAGATGTCCAGATAATCTGGGAGTACCACTTAGAATCTTGGAAGGAGACATATAATCTAGATATAGAGTCAACCTTTTGTCTAGGACAGAGGTTCTTAACCTGGGGGTCTGTGAACTTATTTTGAAAAATATTTAATAACCATTTCAATACACTTGGTTTCCTTTATAATTCTATGTATTTCATGCAATTAAAAATGGATCCATGACACATGGAAAAGTAAAACCCTAGTCTTAGGGACTATAAATGTGGACAACAGACCATGGAATGTTAAAAGATTGTTAGAGTATTCCAAAGGTCAAAAGGCACAATATTATATTTGAAATGTCCAGGAATGTAGCCTTTTTTCTACCCCTTTTCCATATAAAAACCATAGGCACCCTGAAGGTCTAATTGGGAGGGGGAGGGCAGGAATATTGTCATGGCACAACTAACCCAGTAGGTCAAGGATCTTTGGGTGAAAGTGTCAGTCTTCGAGGGTGATCTAATTCCGCATTCCACAGTAATGACCTTACCAGAATGTATCCCTTTTATTTTTGTGACCAGCAGCAGAGACCCAGGTGATGGTATGAGTCACTGGATGAATCTTTGGTGCAGGTTGGTGTCAAGAAATCCCAAAGGTCAAGATTCTGGGAGCCAGTGAAGAAAAATGCCAGCAAGGGTTAAAGTCGCTGAAACCAGATCAGTCATGCAATTCATAAGAGCATGAGTTTTAGAGCTGGAAAGTGGCTGAAAAATCATCAAAGCCATGCCTTTTGTTTTGTAAATAAGGAAAATGAGGCCCAGAGACATGAATGGATTTGTTCCAGTTTACACAGGTTGTAAATAGCAGAGCTGGGCTCTGAACCCAGGACCTATGACTTCAAATCCAACGTTCTTTTCCACTTAATCATGTGACTAAAGGGAAGGGGGACCCTCAGTCACTAAACACGCTCTCAAAGTCTTAGTATGTGGTGTATGTGTGTGGGACAGAAGCTGTGGGACAGCAAAGTCTGGCATTAAGTGATTCTGATACACAGTAGGAAGAGATAGTGCTGAGAAGACTAAGGGCTTACAGAGAGGGTTAATTAACGCTGCTCTGGATGTACTGTGTAGATTACGTCACATAGATTCAGGACAGGTAGTTAGAGGCTACGCTGGGGCTCACCCAGCTCAAAGATGGTTGATCAACTTCTCTGGGAATTAGTTAAGCAGAACTGACTTAGAATTAGACCAAGCCCTGCCATCCAATACTCATCTCTTTCTTTGCCAGATTTGCCAATTGCTAGTCCTTTATAGAACTATATTGGATGGTCATCACTTTAGAACTGGAAGAGGTCATCTAATCCAACATTCCCATTTTACTGATAAGGAAACTGAGACTCAGAGAGATTAAAGGGGCTTACCCAAGGTCACAAAGGTAATAACTGACAGGGGCAAGATTTGAACCTAGTTTATTTGACTACAAATCTATGCATGTGTATGTGTATTGCATACATGTACATATGTATACATATGTGAGCATATATGTGTGTAGAGATATACGTAAATATACTTGTGTGTATATACACTGCTCCCCTTGTATACTGTGCATTTGGCATTTGTGTATGTGTGTATGTGTTTATGTGTGTGTGTATACTAGTCTCTAGCATGTAAGAAGCAATAAGTATAGGAAGGTAGGGTACCAGTCTCATTTTCCTCTTCAGCATTCAGACCTCATAGATTATATTCAGTTAAAGGCACATGATGAAGCAGATCATCAGGATTGCGAAAGGATTTGAAAATATGCCAAAGGAACCTTGGGGCAACTAGGTGGTGCGGTGGAGAGAGCATGGGGGTTGGAATCAGGAAGACTTGTCTTCCTGAGTTCAAATCCAGCCTTAGACACTTACTAGCTGTGTGACCCTGGGCAAGTCTTTTGACCCTGTTTGCCTCAGTTTCCTCATCTGTAAAACAAACTGGAGGAGGAAATGGCAAACCACTCCAGTATCTTTGCCAAGAAAACTCCACAAGAGAATCACATAGAGTTGGAGATGACTGAACTGATTTAATAACAACAACAAAGAAACCCCATGAGGATGGTAAGATTGGAGAACAGAATATCTATGAGGTTCACAAAATTATAGATTTAAAACTAGAAGGGACCTTAGAGATCATCTATTACAACCCCCTCACTTAATAGATTAGGGAAATGAGGTCAAGAGAGGTGATGTGACTTTTCATAAAGTCAGAAAGTGAGCAAAAGCCAGAAATTGAGCATGGGACTTCTGACTTCAAATCCAGTGCTATGTTCCACTAAACTGCAATTGTTGTTTTCAGCTGTTTAAAGGCTGAAACCAGGTGAGTAGCAGCTCCAGGGCAGTAGATTTTGACTCAATATTGGGAAGTCCTGTCCAACAGCTACAGAAATGGAGAAGGCTACCACACAAGCTAGTGTGCAAGCTGAGGATGGATGGTGGACTGGCATCTCATTAGGCATGTTGTAGGCAGGGGATTTCTGACCACAGTAGTGAGTTGGACTAAGTTTTTTCTGAGAGCCTTTTCATGGATAAAATTTTGTGGTGCTGTGAACAAAAGATAGAATGAAGCAATTTGATCCAGGGAAGGATAATTTGCATTGGAAGCATTTACTTCCTCTAAATGTGCATCCTGAGAGCCAATGCAGCATAATGGATACAGAGCCTCCGAATCAGGAAAACCTGGGTTCAAGTCCTGGTCTTTGACACATATAGGCTGTGAAACTGGCTGTGAGTCACCTAACCTCTCAGTGCTCTCAGTCAACTGTTTAAGACTCAAAGCTACCAAAGAGTTGCTGATCTGCATTGTTATAGGGGGTTTCGTGTCCAGGAGTTCTATAGACCAACAAAATTATAGATTTGGTCCAAAAATGTGGATCATATCATTTGAGAAGTTTTCATATTTCTCAGAGATAACGTACAACTTATCAAATGAGTTCTTAAGTGACAGACACCATACATATAATGAAAGTGCCAGGAATCAGAGATCCTTCTCCACCTGCTGTGAATATCTTATGAAGGCAGCAAAAAAAGTGTAAATTGAAACTAGAGATTCACACATTTACTACAGGGATGCTTTTTACTTTGTGATTTCTATTATCAAGAAGGGGTGAAAAGGTTTGGTCTCAGAAATTCTTTGATGAAAGAATATAGATGTCTGAATAGCAAACTATACACACTGAGAGAAAGAAATCAATTGTTATAATTGCCTTTTACTGAGTTTGGGTAGTCTGATGACCCTAAATATGGGACATAGAATTCTAACTTGATACCAGCTCAGCAGGAATTCTCTATCTTTTCTTATGACATTGCTCAGTGCCACCTCTCCCCCTTTACTCTCTCCTATCAGCTTTTTTTTTCCATATTTTTTATACGCTTTTATCAAATTTGTGGATTTTATCAAATCCACAGCAATTAACCTGCTCTCAGGAGGGCAGATTCTATTCAGAATACAGTTAATTTTGTTCGTGAATATACAGTGCTTTCTGAGTAATGTGGTCCATACCATCTGAGGCCTTATTCCTACCCCCAAGCCAGAGAGTTTCTCTCTACAATAAGGCTAACAACTATTCAAAGACAGGACAAATATTCAGAGTCAGTCAGAGGCCTGAAACATTATCTCTCCCACAGTCTAACTCTTTTCTCCAATGTATGATATATGGCCTACAGCTTGCAGAAATGAAAGATGGAGGGACTGCTACAGATCAGCCAATTGGGGGAAGGGGATCAGTTTCTCCATGTTGGATAATGGGAAACATATTTGATCTGCATTGGCAGATTTCCTTATTTTCTTAACACCTCCCCAATGATCACAAATGAAGAAAATTGTTACTTGGGTGAAGGCAGCTCCTGTGCCAATTAATAAAGGAAGCTGCATTAAAAATAAGCTCTAAAAAAAATGAAAAAGATTTGCCCCAAACTTTTAAGGACAATCAGTTCAATTTTTTTGTTAATTATAACCATTGGAATCTGAAATTAATGAAAGGTGAATAAAAGTAAATGACTGAAAATGCCAAATTGCTACAGTATATTTTCATCTGCTGTGCTACTTACCACATGTAACTGTGCACATTCCATATTCTACCTCCTTGGTTACTGTATTATTTATACCTAAACATAAAGCATAAAGGCACATTTTACAATCAAATTCTTCCCAGGTGGAGCCCTATTAGCCAAGGAGAGAGAAAAAGACATATCTTGTTATTGGTAAATATATTTCTTAATTTTGTATGTGGTACAGGAATAAGTAACAAAAGTGTTCTATTGCTAATTATGCAAACAGAGCCCAAGTGCTTTAAAAAATCAACTATTCTTATTGTGCCATAAGAAATGACAAGCAGGATGGTTTCAGAAAAACCTAGGAAGACTTACATGAACCAATGCAAAGTGAAGTGAGCAGAACAAGGAGAACATTGTACATAGTAACAGCAATATTGTAAGGATGATCTGTGAAAGACTTGATTAATCTGATCAAGACAATGATCCAAATCAGTTCCAAAGGACCCTTGATGAAAAACGCTATCCACTTCCAGAGAGAGGACAAACGAATTCTGAATGCAGATTAAAGAAGACTTTTTTTCACTTTCTTTGTTTGTTGCTTCTATTATTATTATTTTTTGCAACATGGCTAATGTGGAAATATGTTTTGCATGATTTCACATGTAAAATTGCTATCATATTGCTTGCCTTCTCAATGGGGGAGGAGTGGGAAGAAGGGAGAGAATTTGGAACTTGATTTTTTTAAAAAAATGAATGTTAAAAATAAATACTTCTTTTTTTAAAGGAGTTTTTTGTTTTGTTTTGTTTTCTGGTGAGGCAATCGGGGTTAAGTGACTTGCCCAGGGTCACACAGTTAGTAAGTGTCATGTGTCTGAGGCCAGATTTGAACTCAGGTCCTCCTGACTTCAGGGCCAATGATTTATCTACTGTGCCACCTAGCTGCTCCCAAAATAAATACTTTTTTAAAAAAAGAAAACAAGTATTCAAGGAGTTAAAGTATAAACAAAGTTTCTATTAAAAAATCCACACATATTTTCTAAAACAATGTGTTTTCTTTACCAATTATTCCATGTTAAATTAATGGTAGTTGCATGATCTAGTAATCTGCCTGCCTGAAGTACTAGGCCCTGTGGTCTATTTTCCAGCTAGCTAAAGGTAGATAAATTTCATGCATTGGATTTATTAAAATTATAAAGGCTATACATCAATTCTATTCCTTTTCTGTATCTCCATGTTTAATTCCAGAAATTGGCCTTGGTATCAGATGGAAAAGTTTCCTCTATGTTGCATGCAAATATTTGAGGAATTTATACAACAATCCTTTTAAATCCTCAAATCATATATTTAGAGTGGAAGGTCAGCAAATCTAATTCCTTCATTTTACAAACAAGGACCTTGAGGCCCACAGAGGTTGTGACCTTCCTAAGGTTACTCAAGTTAAGTAAGTGGCAGAGCCAGGATTCCAACCCAGCTCCTCTGACTCCCAATTCCCCACTTTTCAATTGTACCATACTGACTTTGTGATGAAATGTCTCAAATGTCCAGCTCTTCTTCATTTGAGGTTGAAGTTCAAGGGAAAGGCTGAGATATAAACAAATTGAACTTCACCTCTTGTGCTGGGAGTCAAATCTCAACTAATTAAGACAGAAAAAGAAGTTTTGTGTGTATGTATGTGTGTGAGAGGGAGTGAGGGTGTTTTACCAACCTATCATTGATTCACACTATCACAGTATATTTATCCAAGACAAAAATCATTATACTTTATTAACCAATACCTGCTAAAACTATACAAGATTTTCTCCTTTTAATATCTTAAGGGAGATACTTTTCACATGCAGTTTTTGCTTAGACTAGAAGTAACTAGAACCACAGTACTTTGCACATAATAGAAACTCTGAAAATATTTGTATGGTCAATTTCAAATAGAAGCATAGGATGGATCACAGATTTGGGATCAGAAGGGATGATATAAAGGTGATCTAGTATAATTCCTTCATTTTCCAGACAAGTAAGCTGAGGCCTAGAAAGGAGAAGTGAGCTTTCCAAGATCACACAGGTAAAATGCTGCAGAGCTGGAATGTGAAGCCAACTCCCTTTGATTCCAAATCTAGTACTTTTCATACAACAGGTATATATTTCCATTACTGAAATAACGGTGCTTATGATCAGGGCAGCTATGTGACACAGTGGATAGAGCACCCGGCTTAGAGTCAGGAAAACTCATCTTCCTAAGTTCAGCTCAGACACTTAGTAACTGTTTCACCCTGGGCAGGTCATTTAACGCTGTTTGCCTTAGTTTGTTCATCTGTAAAATGAGCTGGAGAAGGAAATGGCAAACCACTTCAGTATCTCTGCAAAGAAAACTCTAAATGGGGTCACAAATTAGACACAACTGAAATGACCAAACAACAATAACAACAAATGGTCAATTTAAAATACAATGGTTGGAAGGTTCATAGCTTTTAGATCTGAAGGGATGATATGAACATAATCTAGTACAATTCCCTCATTTTCCAGATTTGGAAATTGAGGCCTAAAAGATGAAGTCAGTTTCACAACATTGCATAGGTAAAAGGAGGCAGAGTTGGAATTTAAATCCAAGTCCCTTTGATTCTAAATCTAGTACCTTTCCCACTACAGGTATATATTTTCATTACTGAGACAATGGGATATTTTACACTGCTACAGTAAAGAAACAAATTAAAACTCAACCTCTGTATACAGTAAAGAAAGGGAATGTCATAGATACTTAAACTAACATTCCTTTACATATCTTTTTTAAGAAAGAAAAAATTCTAAATCAATCAGCAAATGCTTATTGAATGGTCACTATTTCTTCTTCATTATGCTAGAAATGGTAGTCATATGACTACAGAAAGTCTGCTGCTCCATCTTGTTACCATGAATAAAGTATGTGGAATTTTCCATTATGGATTCAAGGAAAATCTAGCTCCCAGAACTACTTTTTAAGGATGAGATTTGAATTAGTGGAAACATTTTCACTTTCCAAAATAACTGCTCCAACCTCATAAAAGATCTTTTTTTCCCTTAACTTTAAGTAGCAAAGCAATAAGAAATTTATGACCATGACTCACTTTAAAAGGCATTTGCAGATATTTGTTACTTGCAACATTTTCAGATACATCTAAGTCAATATTTTAAAACAAGAAAGCTCAGTAAAGCAAAATTTGTGACCCTTTTATCTGTACAGAATGCTTGACTTATTTTATATCAGATAAATAAAATGCTTTTATTATATATATTTTATGGGGGAAAATCTTTATACACAAATCTTTCACATCATAAGATAAAAGAAAAATATTTTTTTAAATAGCTGCAGTTCTAGTCAAAGAAATGTTAGGATTCTCAAATCTAAGACCATCTAGCCTTGGGTTTGAAACGTCATCAATTCTTATGCAACTCATTATATATCAGCTTCAAAACAAGTTGTATAAGTAATGAAAAGTAATATGTAAAACAATTTATATGTCTCTGAGATATTCATTAGAACCTGCTTTAACCCTTGAGCAGTTTAGTATTAAAATACATGGGGATGGGGTTTCAAAACCAGTATGGAAAGATAAACTCAGGCGTGTACTGAAAAGTTCATTCTTCCCCAAGGTTAGAATCACTGGATCACCTTCTTTTTCACACTTCCACAGCCAAGTATCTTTCTACCATTCCATAATGGCATGCCATTTAGGCAGCTACAAACCTTGATCCCATCATTAACCCCAGACGATCAATTATTTTCTGACACTGAAGATCACTATGTCATCAAAGAAGAAAGAAAAGACTATTAAACAATCAACTTCCTCCAGAAAGACAGGGCAGAGAGAGACAGACAGACGGAGATGGAGACAGACAGATAGATAGATATAGAGATGGAGATAGAGATAGATAGATAGATAGATAGATAGATAGATAGATAGATAGATAGA